TCCAACAATAGGGCCGTAAACCCCTTGGCCGTAAACACCCTAGACCGTAAACCCAAGGCCGTACACTCCTCATTCTGGCCGTACACTCCCCTTAGATGAATCACATGTGATTCTAACACTTGGTCCAAGTGTTTCCTAGTCCCTAAGGGTGTTTCCTTGCATGTTAGTGTCTTATAAACACTATATTCATGTCAATACATGCCATATATGTCATTTAGGATTCGTTTGTGTCTCGGGACTTCATTCGTGGAACTTCTCATCCTTACGCTCATATTCGTTTGAATCACCCACATAAGTGAGTTTACCCCTATAATCAATCTTTTAACTGTTTTAATGCTTTTAAGGGGGGGGGGGGGATACAAGTTGAACACAATTGATAATTGTGTAAATGTTTGTTATAAACATCTTTCAAAGGTTGCTTATGTTTTATAAGTGATCAAAACATTTCAAAACTCTTTTAAGTTATGTTACTTTAAGTTTATAAAACTCCGTTTTTAAGTACAATCATAACTTAGTAGATAAATGAGTCTTTTCAGTAACAGTTCAAGTAAACATACTAGTAAACTATAATAGGTATAGTTTAGGAGTTAGATCATACTAGATACTAGAACATACTATAAAGAGAAACAGGGAGGTAGATACAATGCACGATAGCATAGAGAATATACTATAAAGAGAAACTGGGATGAAGATATAATACACTATAACAAAAAGAACATTACTAAGATGCTATAACAGAAAGAACATACTAAGATGCTATAACAGAGAGAACACTATACGCTATAACAGACGAACCAATAATGATTAACAAAATATACCAATGATCACTAACTCATTGTTCTAAACAAAAGGTGATAATAAATTGGGTATATAAGACTACTATAACTTTAATGTGAGACTACTTCACGACTTAGCAATTTGTTTGCTGAAGTCGCGTTTTGTAACTAGAATCTCTTGCAGGGAGAGCGTATAGTATGGGTACAACCACATCACATTATGACCCTAATAAAACAAACCTGTTTTAAGGTAATCAGTACTTCAGGTTGTCAATTCAAAAGACAACTATGTACTTACATTTTCCTATTACTTTCATATAGTGACAGTTCCACTTGAAAGTTAATGCAAACTATTTTCGAGTTAAGATAGTTATAAACTAGGGAAAACTTACATCTTTTCAAGCGAAAAACAGAACAGTCGAGTCTAGTACATTCAGTAGAAAGGGACCTATAATGCTAACTTTAGGATTCCTTAGTCTATACATCAGGGATATATATTAAGCGGATCTGACAGGTAGTAGGATGTGTGCTTTCCGCTTCATTACCTGTTCCTTGTTTGGTTGTGGGCTTAGAGCAGATTCACCCAACCTACTATCTATCCGATCTTAGCTATGTATATATTCCGTATACACCAAGTAATCATAAGGAGTACCATGTATGGGTCAGGTCATAGGGCACTAATTCAATGCATCGTTTTCTAGTACGAAACAAACTTTTCAAATATAACATTTTGTAGTTAAAACTAGAAACATACCAGTAAAGGTTTAATCCATTTTATTAAACCAGTTTAACTTAAAGGACATTAAGTGGTTAATTCTATAATACCTTAGTTTATGAATCAGGGTTCTATATAATTAATACCCGATAGGTAGTTGGATGTGTGCTTTCCGCCTTACTTCCTGTTCCTTGTTTGGTTGTGGGATTAGGGCATATTCACACAATTAACTATCTGTTCGATATTATATTATATATAACCTGTATGAACTAAGTGATTATAGAAGAAACTATTGTGGTTACCATTTTTACTAAAAGAAATAAGGGTTTTCTTAAAGGATCTTTTCATCAAATATAAAGGAACTATTACACTTAACTCCATGAGTACCAAGTGAATACACCAGGGTTATATACAACGAAGATCTAACAAATAATGGGATGTGTGCTTTCCGCTTCATTTCCTGTTCCTTGTTTGGTTGTGGGCTTAGGGCAGATACACACAACCGATTGTTTGTTTACTCTGGATTTTATATAACTTGTATCCATTTAGTACTCATAGAAAGGATTGTAGAGTCATTTTTACTTATCTTTCATCAAAGCAGGAAATATAGGATTTTATGGAGGAACAGGCGAACTTTCCTAAACAAAACTTACAACTTACTACAACTTTCTTACAATTTACTTACACCACTAAAATCTTATGAACTTACCAGCTTAAATGCTGATCTACTCTTTCAAAATAACTTGTATTCTCAGGAGACCAGTACACAGGTACGTGCACTGGGATTCAGAAGATGGAGCATAATCGCTTCATGTCTTATTTTGTTATTTGCTTTGTAGTCTATGTTATGTGAACACATACTTTGTAAACACTTTCTTTCAAATGAAATGGTTGTTTATTACTTTGATTACTATGATGCATGTCTTGTGATACTAAACATAACGTCCTCCACCCCCGAACGTTTCCGCCGTTCCGGTTTTGGGGTGTGACACTAAAGCTGAATTGTCTAAACTCTATGTTCAATGTGTTGTTAGGCATAAAGGATTAAGACTAATGGAATAGACAATGTGGACTCATTTGGACTTAGAAAACCTCATTTGGACTGACAATACGACACTTGGATAGATTTAACAGTAAAATAGACAAGGAGACCTATGACATAAATTGAAGCTAACTATCATCTAGATCTGTGGCTCAACACTTCATTGGCGTATGGACTTGTGTCCTTAATTCGACAGGGGGTGACTAAGGGGTCTGATAATTTGGGTCTATTTAAAATCGTTATTCTTTCTTTCTTAGTCAGCCATATGGTGTCCCCTTTGCGTGATCGGAAGATCCGACCTGGGACACAACATATGCACTCAGATGATGTTTACTGCTTTTAAGTTAGTATATTGTCTCCTAAATATATCCTACTCTCTATGTTAGTCATATGTTGTCCCCTCTGCGTGATCGTTAGATACGACCTGGGACACAACATATGCATTCCACAATGATTATTTACTCACCTAAAGTAAAGGATTCCAAAGAAATTTCCTTGATTATCGGGGTATGTCATGGAGTGGGGAACATGTTCCAGTGTACTAACATTAAATGCACCCATAACTAAAGGCTGACTGGTAGATTTTACTGGCTAAATTTAAGTGGACAACAATATCCCTGGTCGTCGTCAGAGAAAATGGTCTATCTAGGAATATAGTAGCTATATATCGTCACTCATGATCTGTCCTGAAAAATGTCCTTTCTGCTTAAGTGGATCACAATATCAATGATTATCCAGAGCTTTTCGTGAACGTGTGTGCTGATAAACCTCATTAATTTGCTTCATAACGTTTGATCCCAAAAGTTTTTGTTTTATTAGAATCTGTTTATTACTTTTTTTTATTTAAATTTGTACATATTTTCACTGTTATGCACAAATTTAGAGGGATAAATTATTCAAAAAAAAATGTGTTTAATTTTATTTTTATTTTCATATTTGGTTTTTGAAACGTAAAATCGAAAGAAATCTTTTTATTAAAAACGAATATTTTTCCTTGGGCCGAAATCATTTAGGTGGGCCATCTGGGCCGATTTTCGGTCATATATATATTATATATATATAATATATAGATATATATATATATATATATCTATATATAGATATATCTGTTTTCGGCTGGTTAGGGTTTCTCACCGAAAAAACCCCAAACAGTCGTCGTTGTTTTCTCTCCAATATCTTCGAGATTTTCTGCTAAAATCTACCCATTCGTTGTTTCTGTTGCAAATTGTTCGGTGAATCAGGTAGCTTTTTCCTTTTCGATCATGGCAATGGTATTTAAGTTGTTTTTGGTGTACTCGGTTTCACAGATTTGCAGGTTTTCAAATGGATTTTATGAGGTTTCCGACGAACTGCGTTGGAACAGTTTCCGATGAGATTTCGGGTTTTCGGTTCAACCCGGATTCGACCGAGATCCGATGAAGATCCGACCCAATCTGACCGAAATCTGGGTTCTCGGCCGAAATCAACCAACGTTGACCGAAATCGTCTGGTCAACAAGTGATTTTGATCGAAATCGATAATCTTTGACCGAAATCGACTAAATTTTTGACTTTGACGTTGACTTTGACCAAAATCGGATTTCAGAATCAATTTAATTAATTTTAAATTAGTTCTCACTTGGCTAGTTTGGTGCATATCTGGCAGAGCAACTTAAATTCGTAGAATCTCACAACATTGTTGGATATCTAAGGGATCCTCCTGCTACTCATCAAGAATTCAAATCCATGATGGTGGGTTTGAACAACTGCAGGATCTCTAAAGCCCTTCGTGCCAATCCAGTCATTCACAAAGACCTGATCACTGATTTCTGGAAAAATGTTTCGATCAACAAGTTAGGAGCAAGTGGAGCTTGTACAGTGGAATCTATGGTGAAAGGAAAAAAAGTGATTATCTCTGAACAAATTATCCGAGAGGTACTCGAATTTGGTGATGCATCCGCATTCCCAATTGAGTACTCTGCTGACCGTGTCAAGGAAGTTCTGGAGAAAATGTGTTATGAAGGAAACTATCCTCCCACTATCAAGAAGCTACTGCCACCCTACTGGAGGTTCCTGGAACACTCCTTCGTGAGTTGCATTTCCGGAAGAAAGGGAGGCTCTGACGAAATCAGTCAGACTGTGACCTCAGCCATTATTGCTCTAGCTATGGACTGGGATTACAACTTCTCAAAGTTCGTCTTTGAAGAAAGGAAGAGCAACCTCCTGGGAAAGAAAAGCACCTGTTTTTGATGTACCCCAGGTTCCTTCAAATGATTTTTAATGAAAAATATCCCCAAATCGAAAGGACGCCCGATACATTGGATATGAAAGCTTTGGGTCCCAACACTTTTGGACTCATGAAGCAATCGAGAAAGTCTGCCAAAGTTGCTTATCAAGGATTAAAGGAGTTAGTTAAATTTGGAAAGTTTGCTGAGATTGAAGATACTCCTGCTGTTGGTTCAATAAATGCTGAGGTTGCCGACGAACACATGGTGCCCAAACCAAAGTTCCAATTCGCCATTGAAGAGATTGAATTATCTGATGATGAAGAAGATCAAGAGGATCAAGAAAATGAATTGATAGAAAAAGAGTTTAAAGACATTATTCAGCAAAGTATCTCAAACCTAGAGAAGGATGCAGCTGTCACACCACAGGTTGTGACTGAAAGGGAAAGTGACACAACAGTGCAATCTTCCATACCGACACATGAACATATGGATGCTCTCATAGAAGAATTTCACCGAACTGTAAGGAAGCCTCCCCAAACAGTTCCTGTCGCTACTGAACCTCCATCTGAAAGTGATCCATAAGACTTAGCCTACGCTTTACTCACAGAGAAGCGAAAAAGAAGAGATCCAAGGCCGGGAGTGTGTATCATGGACCCAGTTCAAAAGAAATCTACACCGATTGAGCCTGGTTCTATGGCTCAAAACTTACAAAGCAAATTCACTGAGACCTCTCTAGTGATTCAATAAATACCATGCCCGTTCCCTGAGCCCATTCATATGGATCAGGATTTTCAAAGTCCAATTGTTAAAGAAGAAGCTATACCTTCAGAAGGAGCTCAAGTTTTAGGAAGCTTATTTGAAACACCCGAGTTGGAAATCTTCAAAGGCAGAAGCAAGCTGCCTGAATCTGAATTTGTTGATGTCGTTCAGCTTCAGAACAGAGTCTTTGATCTGGAACAAAACTCTGCTGAAAAAGATTTGGTAATTGGAAAACAGGATATTCGAATCAGCGAACTTGAGAAAGAGAACTCCGATAAAGATTCAAAGATCTCATAGCTTCAAGAGAATCTCGGTGGTTTAACTGCTCTCTATTCTTCGATAAGAAACATCACCTATTTCAGAATTTTGGTGATTAATTTCAACCCTTGAGCGCTGAAGGAGAAAAGATCACTGCTTCTAGTTCAGGTCCCGCTAATCCAGCTTCACAATCTTCAAGTGAAAGAGCTGCAAGACCTGCTCCAGATGCTAACCTTGATACATTCTTATCTTCTGGTTCTCTTTCTGCTCAAGAAAGAAGAGACAAGCAAATTAGGGTTGAGCAGCTGAAAGGGAAAAATGCTCTTGATGAAGAATTCCGATCAAAATGTTCCGGGTGATCACCCTGAAATGTTCTTCAGGGAAACTGGAAAGAAGTTCAAAGACAAATATGGTGATCGTTCTGGAATCATGGGGATACGATGTTGAAAAGAAGATGTGGATCGTTAAGCAAAAAAGTGGAAGAATTGAATATTATGAGAGGAAAGTCGACTTCATGTCCTGGACAAAAGTTGATCTTTCAGAACTCATACACGCACCTTTCCACAATCCAACCAATGATACCATGGCATGGTCCTTTAAGAATTTTCTTGAGATTAGAGTGAAAAATAACTTTGAAGAGTTAAAGACTGCTTCATCGTTTACTAAGAAGGCCAAGGGTGTCATTGATCCACACACAAACAAAACAACAGTGAATGTCATGTGGCCACCCATAAAGCAAGCCAAAAGGATTCCTCTTCCCAAGCGCTTACCTGAAGGCACTTTGGATACTTGTAACAATGTAAATTTTCAAACCAAAATTTTCAATTTAAAAACACATTTTTCTCAATCTAAACATCTCAAAAGTGTCATAATATTAAATCATCAAACACATATCCAAAACCTGTATATATAACAACTCCAGGATCCTCTCAAAACATAACTCAATCTCTGACGTGTGTACAATCAAGCTGGCGCCTTCCCGTGATCCTGAGAAGTACCTAAAACACATAACACATAACATGGTAAGCACGAAGCTTAGTGAGTTCCCCAAAATACCACACATATCCCATTAGCCTCTCATGGCTATACTCAAATAAGACCCTCTGGTTTATGTGTCTCAGTGGGACCCTCTGGTCCCACAACTCAGTTGGACCCTCCGGTCCCTCAACTCGGTAACTCAATATAATACACAACATACATATCACAAAGACAATAAGCAAGATATATCAATACACATTATATGCACATAATACCCTCCGGTCACACATAGATTACCACTCAAGGTAAGAATAGTGAGAAGACTCACCTCGTAAGAACTCGGATAATCTCGAACTCGAATCACCGGTCTAGCCTCCACCTAACACAACGATAATTATCCCTAATTAATAATGGCTATCACTGAAGCTAAACTAAACCTTATACAAACTCACAGACGAGTAAAAGACCAATTTACCCCTCCATGGGATTAAAAGTCCACAAATTGACCAAACCCTAAAAGTCAACCAAAAAGTCAACGGCAGGGAGTACGCTGCGTGTACCAGCTCTCTACGCTGGGCGTCCTCGGCTGCCATGCATGCATCGGGGATTCTCGACCCGTACGTTGCGTGTACTGGGATTACGCCCAACGTACGTCCCAGTTTCACTCTTCTAACTCATTTGGTCTTATTCAGTTAAGACCTTGGCTCATATCACATATCTGGACTCCCTCATAGCTCTTACTCAATAAAGTTAGTGACTTTAAGCTTTTGCATGGCTGAATGGTCACATAACACACCAAAACACTCACTCTCTTAACTCAAAAAGCTCATATCTCATGCATGGCTTGATTCCAACGACCAAGATTGGATTTTTATGACATTACACCACCAATTACACTCAAAGGGGGTTGATCATAGTCTCTGGAGCTCAATATCTCATAAAGTCTCCAACTTTTGGGATAAAACCCTTAAATACTCTACTATGATGCACAAAAAAAAAGAGTGAAAGCTTGAAGCTTTATACCTCTATGTGAAGCTTCCAACACAGATATGCTCAAATCCAAGGGCCTAAACTTGCACTCCTTCTTCTCCAAAGCTTCTTCTTCACTTCAAGAACACACAAAGACTCTCAAAGGCTCTCGAATGCACTCACAAGCTCACAAGCTCTAAGAACGAGGGTTTATGGCACAAGAGGGTTTGTTGTTTGAGAATGGTGGCCAGGAATGAGGCCATCATATCCTTTATATAGGGGACTCACCCTAAATTAGGGTTTTCACTCTGGGCCTAATACGTTGGGCGTACCCTCTGGTACGCTGGGCGTTCTAGGTGGCTTCCGTGTCAAATGCACGCATATGAGTACGCTGAGCGTACACTCATGTACGCCCCACGTACTCATTCACCACCTTTTTCTCAATAAAGGGCTAAAATAGACAAGTAATCAAAGGTCAAGGTTTACAAGGTATACCTGAACTTGGGATGTTACAATTTTCCCCCACTAGAATCAGACTTTGCCCTCGAGGTCATGCTCTGGAAATAACTCTGGATACTGCTCTCGCATCTCGGACTCCGGCTACCAAGTGCACTCGGACCCCTTCCGATGTTGCCACTGTACATGAACCATGGGCACCTCCTTGTTCCTAAGAACCTTCACTTTCCGATCCAAAATCACAATCGCTCTCTCAATATAATTCAGGCTCGCATCCATCTGAATGTACTCTAATGGTACCACTGCCGTCTTGTCGGCTACACACTTCCTCAACTGGGACACATGGAAGGTGTTATGAATATGACTCAACTTTGCAGGTAGCTCCAAACGGTAAGCTACCTTACCCACTCTGGCTGTCACCCTGAAAGGACCGATGTATCTAGGGCCCAACTTGCCCCGTTTTCTGAATCAGATCACCCCTTTCCATGGGGATACCTTCAGGTGAACATAATCTCCGACCTGGAATTCTAACTCAGATCGTCTCCGGTCTGCATAACTCTTCTGACGACTCTGGGCCGTCAGTAACCGCTGTCTGACTTGCTAATTCTGATCGGTCGTCTTGAGCACTATCTTAGTGCTCCCCATCACTCTCTGCCCCACCTCTCCCCAACAGATGGGATTTCGACATCTCCTTCCATACAGAAGCTCGAAGGGAGGCATACCGATACTGGAATGATGGCTGTTGTTGTAAGAAAACTCAGCCAAGGGCAGATAAGTGTCCTAATTTCCACCGAAGTCCATGACACACGTACGCAGCATGTCCTCAAGCGTCTGAATCGTCTGCTCACTCTGCCCGTCCGTCTGTTGGTGGTAGGCTGTACTGAAGTGCAACCGGGTACCCAAATCCTCATGAAACTTCTTCCAGAACCTG